ATGGTTCATATATTGATACATTTTTCCTTTAACATTATGCAGATGTGTTAAAAGCATTTAAGGGCAAGCTATGTCAATATGATACATTTATGTGCAGCTCCAGACCTTAAACTGAGGATATGGGGAGAAGCCAACAATTGGCATTGGATCACATTGTATTTCAACCCTTATCCTTTACTACCGCCAGCCTCCTACCTGAACCTACCAAGTGCCTTATCTCTAGCAGTCCTTAACACAAAAGCTGGCAAGTGGGATATCTTGGCAAGCTCTCCCATAAAATTTTTCTTTTATTGCAACAAAAAAGGAGGAACAACTTTGGTGTGTTCTGGTTCAAGTTACCCTCTGGGGTTGACTTCTGGCTACTTGTTTCCGTTGATTTGAGGGCTGGATAAAAATATTAACACACTGGATACTGAAGGAGCAGAAATGAAAAACAAGAAATTCAAAGTTACTTGATTTCTTTTTATTTAAGAATGTATCAGTTGATTTCTGATACTACATCTCAAAAGTTACATACTTAGCAACATTTTAATACAAGCAATGGAATGGGGGACTCTTCAGGGAAGTATGCCAAAGACCTAGTATGTCAAACCTAGTTCCGCTCTCATCTCTGAAAGTTGGGACACCCAGAGAAGTGCTCTAGTAGCAGATCTTGGAGTTCGGGCAGGTTTTTGTAGGAGAAGGCAGCCCTTTAAATATGCTGGTTCCAAGTTATTTAGGCTCTGGTGCATGCCAGTAATTTAATTTTCAATGACTGGCTGACCATTATTAAGGGGGGAGAGAGAGAGAAGAGAAGAGAAGAGATTTATGCGGCTAGTGTATCTGGAGTCTGCATGTGACTTTTTAGTTCATTTGTTAAAGGAAAACTATTATGGAAAAAAGGTATTTGAAATTGAGTCTTTAACCATGTGTAACATTTGTAATTGTGGACAACTTTAAGTTGAAAATAGTAGAATGGAAATGTTAATGAAATTATGTTGTAGTTTGCAGCCGTGTATCTATTTCCTTTGTCTTGCTGGGGGAAAAAGTGTGTTTTTAGTTTGCTTAAATTCCCCTTCAACGTTTTTATTTTTGTTTTTGATCATGGGGAGAATAAGTTATGTTAGTTGATTGACACTGGTGTGCTTTCCATCCTTGTAGAGACACCTTTTGTATTTTACAATGTGTTGGCTACAGCTGTATATTTTGTAGTAATAGATAAAACAGGCTGCCACCTGTGTTCAGGGCTGACCAGCAGTGAGTGTGACTGTTCCAGTTCTTCTAGGCGTGATCATTGCTCTTCATTCATTACTTAATCTTAACTCTTTCTTTTTAGAAAGGAATTCTACATTGCAAATACAGAGCAGAGTGAAATTTTGGTTTAGCACACATTGTCAATATATTTGATTAACATCAGTATTTATCCTGCCAGTAAGAGACCAATGGATTTTTTATTTTATTTCATTTTTCAAATAGGACACTGTCTATAGTCCTTAGGCTAACCATTAGTGTTTCTGTCTACATTTACAACTCGACACTTGGCATATATTTCAAAATGAAAATAGATATAATATATATGTATAGACAACAATATACAGTACTAGTATTTTCCATGAAACCACATCTGCTCCCAATGTAATTAAACTGTTCATCTTAAAATAAGAGTTTGTATTACAGTTACTTTCTAAACTCAAGGAAGTTATACTGGCCTTTATTGGTTGCTTTTGCAAATTCTTCTCTCAGAAATAGGTCTTTAAAATTAGCTTTTAAAAGACAAGTCCACCTTGGTATATATTTTAATCAAATAATCAAACAATAACTATCTGCTTATAAGGTGGAAATCTGTTTATAAGGTGCAGGAGTGGAAGTTTTGATGACTATTCTCATTGATCAATGGGTTTCCTCTTAGGCAGTAGGAACCTTTTTCTGTAAAAATAGCAATCAGAGGCTCTGTGTGCACATAGTTCTGTCCCACCTGTGCAAGAATTCTGGGCTATGTTTTTTTAATCACTCATTTCCACAGCTGACTGTTTGATGTATTTAAGACGAAGAACAAGATTTGGCATTGTTCCCGCTGGTTTCTCACTCTTTAATTGAATACTTGCTAGTAATAAAATGGACTTCTAGTAATTCTTTTTGAATACCATTTAACCTTAAGTTAAATGAATGTACAATGTAAAAATCATCATGGATTCTCTTACTTGAACTTTTCACAATGACTGAGGGAAAGAAGCAAGATCCAGTTACTGTACTGTGTTTGTACAGCTGTATCTCATTGAGTCAAGGTTTGTGTTACACACAGTTTGTGATAGGAAGTATATGCTTTTAAAACAACTAAGGAGACAGATCTTTAACCTCCACCCTTTTTATATTTTTTTGTTCACTCATTTAGCTTCTGTCATGGTCCTAGGAAGTATTTCAAATACAAATTATTGCACAGTATTGTAGTTTGCATGAATAACTCATCCCCTAGTGCACTCATTAGGAAGGGTGGATTAAGATACTCATTTCCCTGAAGAATTGGTTTAAGATACTGAGTGCTTCAAGAGAAGATGAATTTTCAAAAACGATTTCTCAGGTTGCATGTTAGGGATATTTTCCTGATGGGTCAGTTAAATAATAGTTTTTCAGTATAGCTGATGTGAGGATTTTGAGGAGCTCAGGATACAGTCTGGGATAATTTAAGTTGCATCCTATATTATTAGCAGGTCATAATTTGTTGGCTGTCATATGCTAATATCTAACTTACAAGTAGTTTGCAATTTCTCTGGTGTCTTGGAATGAATGACCTGAAGATTCATTAACATATTGGATTTGATAAATTTGGTCTAACGGGTTAATCATCACTCCTAATATACTTTTGGCAGTAGAAGATACCACAGCATTGATGTTTAGAATCATATACTTATATAGTGAACAAGATCCCAATTTTTGCCAAATCTAACTTGCTTAATTGTTTCAACAAAAGTTTACCTTCCCATTGTTACTCAGTAGAGTTCATCTGGCTGCCATCCAGTCAACTTTCACATTATCAGCAGATTTATGTAAACTTCATTCTTTGAAACACAGGTGACCTGAGATTTGTTTAACTTTAACAAGACAACTACTAGACTCCACCACCCACTTTCACATTATGATGAGTTCAAGACACTCCACAGAACCTCAGGCTACACATCTGATGGCCATGAAAGACTTTCTCTTTTCAGTTCTTCTTGCCAAATTCCTTCTCAAAACTGTCTCAAAACAGACATAGATATCTAAAATTCATAGCAACCAGGCCACCTAGACTATTTTAAAGAAGACAGTGTCCTGATATATTTTGGCCATTGACAGTGAGGCAAGGGACATATAAACAATCAGTATGCATATGCATGGCTGCTGATTGGTGGCTGCCTGCTTCCCTGTCTCCTTAGTAGAATTATAGGAATGGAGGCCTTGATCAAGCAACCAGGCATATAATCATCAGCTCGGGGCTTCTGACCTCCTTCACCATCACACTTAAGAATGGAAATGAACCAAACAAATGAACAACCCCCATCATTCAGCCCGGACACTAAGGTCCACCTCCAGGGTTCTTCTGGAAGTTCCCTCACCGTGAGAAGTGAAGTTACAGGGAACCAGGCAGAGGGCCTTCTTGGTGGTAGCGCCCTCCCTGTGGAATGCCCTCCCATCAGATGTCAAGGAGATAAAGAACTACACAACTTTTAGAAGACATCTGAAGGCAGTCCTGTATTGGGGAGTTTTTAAAGTTTTACATTTTATTACGTTTTTATATTCTGCTGGAAGCTTCCCAGAGTGGCTGAGGAAACCCAGCCAGTTGGGCAGGATATTAATAATAATAATAATAATAATAATAATAATAATAATAATGCAAAAAGTGTAAAATTCTCATGATATCCCTAGACAGCAATATTATGTTCAGGGAACGATAGAGAATGAAAGATTATAATAAAGCATTACTACATACGGTAATAAGACACCTACTCTTATTTAGCTTATCTTTACTGATAAAGATTATATCTAATTGCGCACAAACACTTCCAATTTCTCTTAAAATATGTCCTGAAAACCCGCCCAATTTCCTCGCTTTACAGTTTATTTCTGTATGTATTACTTCAGCTGTTTAAATAGGTAACTTTTCTCACTTATATTAACCCCACTGAGGGGTCCATTAGATATTCTCTCAATCATGTAGGAGCCACTTAATTGTGAGCCGTTCCTACATAGGTCATTTGAATTATCAAGGCACTTGGGCAGGGTGATTGTTTCTTTGCAATTATATTGTTTGATTGCAATTATATGAGCATTTCCTCAAAAGTAAATATTGCTTTATTCAATGGGTGTTCAATGCATAGGATTGTAGCCTCAATCATTTTCCTAGGAGTAGATATCCTATGATCCTGAGAGAATGTCTAAAGAGATTCTGGAATTAGCTGATTTTGATGTATAAAATGGGACCAGGACAGAGACACCGAGTTCCTCCCAACATTGGGGGGGGGGCAGGGCTCATTGTTTGCATGTGACATTACATTTGCAACACACACATGTGACATCATGTGCATCGGGAGGAGGCTGCAAGGCTCGCTGCCACTGTGGGAAGGCCTTATAAGGCCCACCCCCTCAAGATCGGGAGCAGCTTAGCTCTGTTCCCACATAATCTGGGGGTGGGATGGAGGTGTCCTCAGCTCCATGGAGTTTGCACCTATGGACTATGATGACTGAAAAAAATGATCTCACATCTTACATATCCAATCAATCACTGTCCTCGGCAGGTGAGCACCCCCTGCAGATACCACCTTCTCAGGAGGTCAGTTCCATACAATGTCCTTTGTTTACTGCTCTTGGCTCCTTTGAGAAGAAGGGTGGGATATACTGGTAAATTTAATTAATCACCATCATTATAATTTCTGAAATTTGTGTATCACATGCTAATTTTTATTAATTGTGATAGTTACTTGATTATAGGAACAAAATGCTTTGTTCTCTATTCCAGGGCTCACATGAATTATTTGTCTTTTCAGAGATTAATTTATTGTGGGCAGGACACCAAGCTCATCACAGTTCTGAGGACTATAATTTATTCACAGCATTAAGGCAATCCGTCCTGCAGAAGTATGCATCTTGGGTATGTTGCATAAAAGTTGTGCAATAAAATAATGGCTAAACATGTGTGTCAGTCATCAACTTTAGGGATATCAAATCTATGACTTAAGCTTTTTTCAAAAAGTAATTAGTAAAATGTTTTATTTACTTTAAACTTCCATGTGGATTCTACTTTCTCTATATCTTAAAGATTAATATATTTGAAATAAGTAAATAAAATGAATTTGATACTTAAGTGCAATTGTAACATTTCTATTAACTAAAATTAAAAATTTTGAATTAACAATGAACTAATTGATTTGTATATAAAGAGAATTGTTTTAAATCACATTGAAAGCCTATATATATATTGTGTGTGTGTTCTAAATAAAATGTCACAAAACTACCTTGACAGGCAAGCAAAATTCTTATATTTCACCCCAATCTAGGAAGTGATATCTACATGTAGGAAGGAGGCTTTGCTCTTAAGTTCCTTTGCTCTAAAGTTCCTTTGGTTGGTTGGGACATTTATAGTGTGTTGTGCTTCTGTGTTAATAGCATGAGTGGATGCCCATGACAAATAGTCAGGGCTGTGCATGTGAGTCCTCGCACTGGATTAGGGACTGTAGTTGCTACACTGTTCAGGTGCTTGGTGCTGCCAATTCACACACTGTAAGTCACCTAAATTAAGGAAGTGAACTTTACTTTTAAAATGTAACTAAAAAGGTACTAATACATGGCCCCAAAACCTGACTAGCCTTGATCACCAGCCAATATTTATGGTTGTCGCTGACCATGTGCAGTGGAAGGATCTTTGCTGTGATGTCACAGTATGCAGAATGCATTTGAAAAAGTGTGAAGTGATTGTGGACGCAAACGTCTGTTCTCCTCACCTGGCTTTGAGCTTCTCATGTTGGGGTTGCCCGTGTAAAATGGCTCAGAAAACAGTAAATTGAGGTGTGGGGTTTTTTTTAATCCTCTCTGAGGTTTAAAGATATATGGAGCCTGATCCTATGTGTGTTCACTTTGATGTAATTTCCCACTAAGTTCAGATGAATTTATTCCCATATAGAATTCCCAGGCTGCAAAGAATTGCAGCCTGAGTTTCATTTCTTTGTCCTACATCAAGGTGCATAATTTCTCTTAACTATTTAACATAATTTACTACTTACTTTGAAAATTCTGCCGTTTAGATTTATAAAAAATAGAATTAACTGTTTTTGTGGTCACTGTATATAATAATAATAATAATAATAATAATAATAATAATAATAATAATAATAATAAATAATTTATTATTTATACCCCACCCATCTGGCTGGGTTTCCCCAGCCACTCTGGGCGGCTTCCAACTGAATATTAAAAACAGTACAGCATCAAACATTAAAAACTTCCCTAAAGAGACCTGCCTTCAGATGACTTTTAAAAGTAAAATAGTTGTTTATTGCTTTGACATCTGCTGGGAGGGCGTTCCACAGGGCAGGCGCCACTACCGAGAAGGCCCTCTGCCTGGTTCCCTGTAACCTTACTTCTCGCAATGAGGGAACCACCAGAAGGCCCTCAGTGCTGGATCTCAGTGTCCGGGCTGAACGATGGGGGTGGAGACGCTCCTTCAGGTATACTGGACCGAGGCCGTTTAAGGCTTTAAAGGTCAGCACCAACACTTTGAATTGTGCTTGGAAACGTACTGGGAGCCAATGCAGATCTCTCAGAACCGGTGTTATGTGGTCCTGGCGGCCACTCCCAGTCACCAGTCTAGCTGCCGCATTCTGGATTAATTGCAGTTTCCGGGTCACCTTCAAAGGTAGCCCCATATAAGCAAATAGTATGTAACAGCACTGTTGACTATTTGTGAGACTTGCAATCAAACTAATGAAGAATGACATTAGAAGATTTTACAAAATAATAGTTAACTAATAGGAGATCTCTGGCTTCTGTTTCATAGCAAATGTTTGTGGTCTCCAGTGATGGGTAGCCTGCCATGTTCAAACGGATCCAGTTGAAATGTGACAGTGGTTCTTGTTTTGGATAAATTTGGCCATGCCAAAATGGAAACTAATTAGAATTGCCACAGCCTTTCTCGTGCTTTTGGAAAAAAGCAATGTGCTGTGATTTAAGCATTTTGCATCTCACTAGAATACCTTCCTAAATTCTTTACTTAGAACCTCTTTCTGTTACAAGTGCAGTGAAATAAGACTTGGTTGGATACAAACCCAACTGCTGACTTTTCTGTCATTGGACTTTTCAAATTTTTACCTGATGACATTAATTGAGTGGAGACACATGAATAGCTGGAAAAATGTTGTGGACATTTCCAATCCACTAGGAATTCATCCTTAGAGTTTTGGCTGCTTAGCAGTTCCATGGAAGAACAGCAGTGAAGGGAACAATTGAGTTAAGCAATTTAAAATAATGAAACGTGGCAACCATTTTAGTTATAGCACATCTTTATCCATACTAAGTTTCAAGAAAGCATATTTCAGAGTATGATGGTATGTATCTAATAACCAGAATAGCAACCAAGGGAATTGCAATGGGTACATTTTCTCTTTGATGGCTTCTTCTATCTTTGACATCTCAGGCATGTCTTGAATGCGGAGTTTCCCATACTTCTTTTATTAAATGAATAAAATTATGTCTATTATAATTTGGTAGATCCATTTGTTAACTTGTCTTCCTTAATTTTCAGATATTCTACTTGCCCATGGCTCTCTTTATTCCTCCCTCAGTGTGTGCTGTTCATCTCCAGTTTAATCTCCTTTACCAGTTCTGGATACATACAGAGGTAATTTAGGATCTTTAGCAATGCCTAAGCTCTTAGTCTGGAACTGTGTCTTGGAAATCTACTAGTAGCTGATTTATTGTGTAACAGAAGTATTTTTCTGATTTCTTTAAAGAGAAACATATGCTCCTTTTTATTCCTTTCTCTCTCTCTCTCTCTCTCTCTCTCTCTCTCACACACACACACACACACACACACACACACAGGCCATTTGGTCCCAATTAGTTTAAAATATTTTAACTCCAGAATATCAAAACAAAGTACTATTTTAGTACTATATTTTTACACTTCTTATTTTAATTGCTGCAGCACAGATAGACTTTATATCTGAGAAAGACATATCAATGAAAATATTTTCAATGATCATCAGATCATTTAACAATTAAAATCATGACCAAATTTTGGTGTTGGCCTCCATTGTCCTAATGATTAGCTGCTCATGAAAGTTTCGTGTGAACATTGTGTGCATTTGAGCACATATTTGTTAGTCTTCTGTGTTGATAACTAATTAGTCATCATGCTATTTCTCAGGTAAACTTTGTTTCAAGTTTTAGTAATATGCAAGGATTATGTGCTGATCATATTATTTTTCTGCTGCATACAACAATCTATTTTGAATAGCCATCACCCCATATTTAAATTAATCCTAGAATAAATAATTATCCTCTACTACAACTGTAGCTTATTACATTACAAGGTGCTTAGTTATTTTCAGTTACGTAGTAACATAGTTCACAGATTGCTGTGAGGAGGCCATACATAGTTCTACAAATGCTTTCTCATCCTGTTTTCAGGTTTCCTGTGCATATTGTTTGGCTTACTTGCTGTGCAGTTACACTTGGCCTTTTATATATAATATAGCCTCAGCTTTTAAAATATTATAAATCTGAAGGTTATACTACACTGGTCTGCTAGTTATAATAAAATACCAAAATCACAATGGGCTGTTAGGACAAATAAAGCAGTCCTGCTTTTTATAACGAAAAGGGTCCAGGTGTTATTGTGACAGAACTAAATGTAATTTTGTTCAGATGTTGCTGTCTGACAGATGTGAATTCTACATTATATTTAATTAAGTGTTCTTCCATTACAAAATGCCTCTCTCATCTCAAGGCTACCTCTATTGCAACATTAAATTATGCGTTGCTGCCCTGCATGAAATTCCCCCAAAGAAAATATTTAGCTTAGATAAATGATGCTCCTAAATTTCTAAAATAAATGGTATAGTTGTTTCCTCTCAAAATTACTGATATAATAAACAGAAGAGGGCTTTGAAATGCAATACTTCAGGAGCTGAATCAGGCCCTTAAAAGGCTGAGGGAAACTGTTTATTGATAGTCATTTGAAAAAGACAACATGATAGCGCTTTTGTAACAACTGAAAAGAGGGAGATGCAGGAGGGAATTGCATAAGGCTCAACTGAACCTTTCAACTTGGTTTCTGCTGCTGGTTTTTGGCAAGGGACATACATTCTGCAACCTGCTAGCTAATACTTGGTGTAGAAGGTCCATGCTTGCCTTCCATAGCAACATCCAAATATCATGCATGCATGCATATGGCTACTGCTTCTTCAATCAGTTGTCAAAAGGTTGTTTTGATTTGGCATGGGAAACTTCTATAAATGCATCAAAAGCAGAATAACAGATTCCTGGTTCAGAAATATTCATTTTAATATAATTTAATTTTAATTATAGAGCCTTCCACAGGCATGGGCAGAATAAAAACCAATACATTTATGTTTAAAGAATAATATAGACTATAATAAAATAATGCTTTATAGAGGGTGTACACCTACATAATATTTGCTTCAGACCCCAATTTGGCACTTAATGGAACAGCCTAGAATTGTGGTCTGAACTAATTTTTGTGGTCATTGCTCAAGCATCAAAATTTGTTAATTGAACTTCAGTCCCACTACTATGCATGTAAATAGTTGATTGGGGGTGTGTGAATAAATGAAGGAATTCACTTTCTAGTTGAAATAATTCCCTCGGATTGTAAACTTGACCTTTTGATCACAATGGAGCTGTCCCTCAGCACCTTCTCCCCTCCTCACTCTAGCAGCCTCCTTAAGTTTAAATATAAAAGCTTCACTTTCACAAAGCTGCTCCATTCCCTAAAGCACTGGGTTTGGAGAATGCTGATAAAATCCTTCGCTATGATTACAAGCTAGACCTGTCAATCACAATACTCCTCCACCCACCCACAATCTCCCTGCCAGGTTTAATAATTTGGCCGTGACAAACTGTGAATAAAATAATCCTGAAGGAATGTGTTCTTTATATAATTAGGTTCGAAATGCTAATGAAACATGCCTATTTCTTTCTAAAAGCCATTGATTAGTTTAAAATAGTTCTAATTCAGTTTCTTTATAATTGCACACTTTCCCCACCAACTATGTTGAAAGGTTTGTTTTTTATTCAATTAAAATCCATATCTAGTTATGTATCACCTGTCTAAAGAAAAGCTTTGAGCTTGTCCAATGGGGAGTAGAACCTTTAACTGAAAATTATTGGTGAAATGTGGGGGGGGGATTGAGTGACAACATTCTGCCTTCAAGATAATTTATTATAAACAGATTTCTTGAAACCCTTGTATTTATTATATAAACAGTTTCTAAGCTTGACAGTCCGTTAAAGCTAGGCTTCCACTTCTTCATTCCTATAGTGCAGTTATATCAGAAATTCAGCCCCCCCCCCAATTGCTTTATGATCCCTACAGGCCTGATTCCTTTAGCTTGTTTTAGTTCGAAACCAAAAATATTATTGTTTCACTTCTCAATGTGGAAATTTGGAAACCTCCATATTACATGCTAACTGGAGTAGAAAACTGCCTAATCAGATAGGAAAACAGTTGGCGATGAATAAATCAGGGTTTGCCGAAAAATTCAAAGTGCTAAGGCGGGCAGACGAGTGCATATCCTAGGGGTTCTGCCTTTCCCCAGCTTCCCTGTAGAGAATTCACATGACAGATATGGCCACCATGCCCATCTGTATAAATACATGGGTGGGTTGTCTTGAATTAACACAACAACTTTAGTAGAAAAAGCAAATCATGCTTTTCTTTTTATGTTTCCTTGCCAGATGGTCTCAAATATGGATTCATATTCCAAAGGTTTTTTTAAATCACCTTGACTTTGGTGTAGTAGCTTATAATATTAAGGGAGAACAAAATAGTTGGCTCAGTTCAACCAAATACAGCAGACCATGGCCCTAACCCCTTCTGACATTTTCATTTGTTTTTATACGTTAAGTTCCTGAACAATTCCCTTGTTGGTTACATTGCAGGCTACAGATGTATTATAAGGAACCAAAGTTTAGATAATAATATGAGTCACAGGTAGCGTTGTAGCTACTTTACATATGCAGCCAAGAGTAGCACAGGTCTTCTTTACCATATGCAGGTGGGCTGTTGAGGCATCAGTGTATTATTCAGGCCCAGTAAAGTTATACTGTTGGTAGTATAAGAGGTGCAACATAAACTCCTCTTATCTGACCCATGTTCTGGGCACCACAATTTAAGAAGGATATTGACAAGCTTCAACGTATTGCGAAGAAGGGCGACCCAGATGATAAAGGGTCTGGAAACCAAGCCTTATGAGAAACGAGGGAATTGGGTATCTTTAGCCTGGTAAAGAAATTGAGAGGAAATGTGATAGCCTTCATCAGATATCTAAAGGACTTATCACATGGAGGATGGAGCATGCTTGTTTTCTCCTGCTCCAGAGGTTAGGATCCGAATCATTGGCTTCAAGTTACAAGAAAAGAGATTCCACCTAAACATCAGGAATAACTTTCTTACAGTAAGAGCTGTTTGACGGTGGAACAGACTTCCACAAGAGGTTTTTTTTAGCAGAGGTTGGGTGACCATCTGTCACTTATGATCTAGTTGAGATTCCTACATTGCAAGGGGCTGGGCTGGATGACCCTCAGGGTCCCTTCTAACTCTACAATTCTATTATTCTATCAAAATGAAACTAGGAGATGTGCTGCCATGGTTCTCACACCTTCACTGTAACAGATGTACCCCATTTGTTCTGGATTTTCATTGATAAGCCTTCTCCTCCACAATCCAAGAAGCGGTATCTTTATTCAAGTGACCTGTGTACATTTTGCAAAACAGCAGAACTAAGGATTCACGTTGCAGTGGTGAACTAGAGGAGTTAGGCCACAAAATGTGACATTTGCCTTAGATTTCAAGTCATGACTGATTATCATTATTTAAACAAGAACAGTATTCAAGTCTACAGATAGAAAGTAGTAAAGATTTCCTCATGTGTTGACATGACTTTGAGACAGCAAACATGCCACAAAAGATGCCGCAATTTTTCTATCCCCATAAAGCTAGCTTTGCTATTTCAAAGAAGCAAGTTTATTTTACATTGATTTCATTTGTCTTTTTATAAAATATGACTTAAATAAAGTATACACATAAATGCCTTGGACTTGACATACAGTATATGTAGTGCAATACTGGTAGTTACTACATGAGTATTCATGACTGAAGATTCTATGATGAACTTTTGTAGCTTTTGGAATTGTAAGTTTTAAAGTTGATAAATAGCTCATTGTTACTATTTGAGTGTCAAAGGATTAGTATTACATTTCCTTTACCTTTTTATGGATTGGGGATACCAGAGGAATACAGTGCACACCATAGTCCCAGTGCAGCAACAAGTGACTTGTAAATGGGAAGAAACATCTGAACACATCTGTCCATTATGGAGACTACCTTGCAAATGCAAGATGGTGCTGCTGTGGGGAGAGGATGCATATACTTCACCCAAGGGTGTGTGAGAGCACTGCCAAACAGATGTTCAGCATTTTCAGTTCTGACAGTATCAGTCACCTGTTTGGGTGGGATGGATTCCAGCTTTCCCAACCACCACCACCACCACCTCCAGCAGGTGGTCAGGGCTGACAGCATCAAAATTTTGTTCGTTGGCAATGAACTGCAGCCCACTGCTATGCATGAAAATCTCTGGATTAGGGCCAGAACATAATATGACCCTCTTCAAAGGATTAATATTGCAAGCAGTGATGTTAGCAGGGATGGAAAAAAATCATTAAAAAACATCTACTTAGATCAAAATGTGCAGTTCTAGCCCACTTCTAAGCTTACCCAAAACATATAACTTGGTTCATAGTACTCCTCATGTTGGGAACCCAAATATGATATATTTTTACAAAACTATTTCAATATTTATTTTAAAAACAAACCAAAACTAAGCGGTTGAAGGTTAGGTGTGGTCTTTTAGAGAAACCACTGTGAATCAAGGAATGCCTCTATTATTTTATCATGGCTTCAATCTTGTTCTCACTTACCTGAGAGTATGCCTGGTTGAATTCAATATGACTTAATTCTGAGTAGACTTTTATGGGACTGTACAGTGAATCTAACTAGATGTCACCTTGTTTATAGCTGTAGAACTCTCTTGCTGGACAAATGATGGAAGTTGAGCTAACCTGAAATATTAACATTTTTCTTACTCTTAGGTGGCCTTTTGGGGCTTGGAGATATTTGCTGGAAGTTTTTGTGGAATTCAAATGTGAATGCTTGTGCTTTTTTGGTTTAGAATAAAAAATAATAGTCTGTATTCTATTGTCAGTCTTTTTGGAGTCATTTTATACTAATCTGTTGTCTAAATAAGCTTATTCATTCAATATATATATATAATATGTGCACAACTAAGATGCATCTGGAAAAATGAGCAAGTGTCTGTACTGCTTTCAGTTTGTCCTATATAGCTGCTTTACTGATGGAGCAAATTGCATTTAGAAATTACTGGTCACCTCTTCAAATTAGAGAAAAATAAAAAAACCATGTATAAAACATCTCTTCTGCTGCATTAAAGTATATCTTTGAGATAAAAAGTTCCATTCATGATGGAAATGATCACATTCTTATTATTTCCTTTTATCAAGGTGATAGTTTTCAAAGGAGTCCTTTGTTTCTATGTTTTGTGTGTGTGTGTGTGTGTGTGTGTGTTGGGTTTGTGAGCATGTCTGACACTGAACATAAACTGAAAATGTGAGAGCAGTGGAGACTCTTGCAGTGGTTAAGAAATGACCTAGGGCCAGGGAGATGCAGCTTCTCACTCAGCCAAGAAGCTTGCTGGATTACCTTGGACAAGTTACCATCCCTCAGCCTAGTTTACCATACAGCAGGGATGGGGAATCTATTGTTCAGATGCGAAATGCAGCCATCCAGTCTTTTCTACCTGGCCCTCAAAGCTGCCCCCTGGCCACACCCCTCTCCAGCTCTGCTTTATACCACAAATATTTCTGCATGGCTGGAATGTGTCATCGAACTCTGATAAGCCTCTTGTCTAGGTAGAGGATAGTGAGGCATGTGCACAGAAACTAATCTACTGTACAAAGGCAAACTTTACATTTGTTGCCTTGCCCACCACTGGCAAGTGGCCCTTGGAGGTTGCCCTAAAGGGAATGTGTGGCCTACAGCCTGGTGAAAAAAATACCCACTCCTTCCTTACAGGGTCATTGTGTGGTTAAAATGGTTTGGGTCACACATACATTGTCCTTCGCTCTCTGGAGAATAGGATGGGATAAAAATGTAAGATAAAATTGCAATAATATGACAAAACCCTGACTTGTGTGAATAAAGGTTGTCCTCAGTGAATCTTACACATCATAATAGCTTTCTCATCTTCTCTTATGAATATTTTGTTCAAAATGGCCATTGACATCCAAATTATCCCTCTGCTCTGAATTTCTCCTGTGGCATTGTCTACTGTTTTTCTTTTTGTTAACAAGATCATTGTTTTTTCCAAGGTTATTAAGAATCTCGGCCCTTTGGAGTTTATTCTCAACACACCTAGTCATCACAGAGTACATCATGGTAGGCAATATTAGTTCTGTGTTCATGTTTGTATTATTTTTAAAATGTTGTTTTATATGAAGGAATGGAATGGCAGGAGCAGTTGTAAATGAGAATTTTTCTATTACTGTCTTAATAGCAGTTCTATAACATTTTAGATTCCCGCCCCCACTTGTATTTTTACATCTCACACAGGAAGTCAGGGTTATCCTTGATATTACTTATTTAACTCACCATAAATCTTACAAAACAGCTTAAATAATTTTTTACAGTGCAACACTACTCTTAAACAGTTTTTTCAAAAATGTATCAAAAAGTAACTCCAAATGTATTTCTATTATTTTTGTAAGCATGTTTGAAAAATGTCTTAAGCAGCTTGCAGTATATAACCCAGAGAAATGTTATTAGAAGGGAAATGATGCAAGAGGTTTTAAAGAAATGCTCAGAATCATGGCTGTGTTATAATTTGTTTATGAGGAAATGTATTCCTAGAAGCTTATTTAAAGGGGGAAAAATTGATAAAACACAATGTATTCTTCAAAGGCATTGACAAAGTTTGTTGCAACATTTCCCCCCAAATAGGAAGAAATCCATACTGCATTGATAAGAACTATGGTGGCACACTGATTATTTGGGACAGGATTTTTGGTAAGTGTAGTTAATTATTTTTCTTAACATTAGCTTTGCAAGCGGTGATTTTATTCTCAGCTTTTTTCCCTTCCCTGCAGGGACATTTGCTGCAGAAAATGATAAAGTTGTATATGGCCTAACACATCCAATTAACAGCTTCGAACTTCTCAAGATTCAGGTAATCCATCTGTTTTTCTAACCTGCTTGTATGCTTTAATATTACATTTGATTTCATGGGTTGAATTCAGTGTGTTTCCTATTACTCCTTTGCTTTTATTTGATTGTTTTTGGTTCATTGACACACATAAGAATAAACTAGTTTTCGTCAGCCTCTAGCAGGGTGGGGAATGTTAAGCTTCAAGTATTCTCATTAACAGAAGAAAGTGCCCCTGCACAGAAATGTCACACTGATTATTCTATCATTACAGTTCCATCATTGTATTTATATATGGAAAACATTTTGGAATACTCCTGGATTCTGCAATAAGCTTTCTGTCCTGTTCAAGGGCCCAGGATGGGGGCCAGGCAAGCCAAGACTTGGTCTTATGGAGGACATCCCAGAGGTAAGTATAGCATGGATTTCACTTCTTGGTTCTGTAAATTATGTTTTCATAAGGGTTCAGTCTTCTGCATGCTTACCTAAAGGCAAGCCACATATTTGGGGGATAGAAGCAGGATCCTGAGCAAACTTAGACAGGGACACTCCTTAAACCCAACTGAGTGAAAAATAAAAAAATGGATCTCCCATTTTGGCATACTGCACCCAGGTAGGATTAGCACCACCTCATGCTCAAGGCAAGACCTTAGTCAGCTCCTAAGAACTTTCAACTGTGCTCCTGGAAGCTCTTCAGTTTTAGGTCCCTGCCTTTGGTTCGAGCAGCAGCCCAACAGTTCAGTCCATCAACAAAGCGCAAAGCCCTTTCAGCCTTACTAAAAGCTCCTTCAACCCCTTGTGTACAATCTCTTTCTAAGCACTTGATTACACAAGTGATTCTGATCTTCATGGAAAGTCGGTTTGTCCTCCTTGGGCTGGTGGCTTTGCAGGCAGGCACCGTATCTCCCCTATGAACCAGCCTATTGCTGCCTGGATCGTACCCATGCCACCAAATTGGCCAGTGGTGGCAGGTATGCAGGGGGCATTACCTGGGCATAGTGCCAACTGACCAACCCCCAGGGGAAGGATAAATACATTTTTTGTAATGTAGAAGGTTGAAATGTATATTTGTTATATGGAAAATAAATATGTTACGAAAAAGTGAGGGAAAAGGAGAGTAGAACCTAATGGGCTACGTGTGCAAATATTGCATTCCGTTAAAGAACAATGGGGGAAAATGACCCTCTAGATGCTACTGAATTCCAGTTTCCATCAGTCACACCCAGCATTGCCGATAGATGATAGGAATTGTAGTCCAGCAACATTTGGATAGCAACAGGTTGCCCACTCTGGCCTATAAAATAAATCATTTGTACAGATTAAAGGTTTCAGCTGCACTTCTATTTAAAATAAAATAACAATAAAACATGACGAATAGTGAATTTCAACTACTAAATGCAAAAATGGAAGACAAGTTAATTTGTGATTGAATAAAGACTCTGATTTGTTTGTTTGTTTTGTTTTGTTTTTAATGTAGGTTACTGGAAAGGAAGTTCCCTACAGCCCCACATTACCAAGCTACCTTTGTGTCTATGTAGTTACGCATTTCGTCTTAATGCTGGGATTTTACATTGATTTGATTGCTACAAAATATGTAAGTATAATTTACACTTATTTAAATAAGCTGTTTCATGATACTTGAAGATGGTGCAGATACAGTGAAAATAAAGTATATTTCTGTTAAAACTGGATGCATGAAACTGAAAACACTGGCGGATAGTATAGTTATTTTTATGCTTATCTGTTTTGTGGGTCAAGATGGATTTATCCTATCTTAATGTGAACATAATTTTAATGTGGTAAGAGATTTCTCATTTTTACTGATAGCTCCATCCTGACATTTCCCCCATCTTCTGTTGTAATCCTTTACTCATTCTTTAAACAGTGTAAAAAAAACCCCACAGTTCCCACAATGGACTGCATAAAAGTTCTTGTTTCAAGACCCAGATCCTTGGCATGATACAGAAAGTCAAGCTAAACAGAAGGCTGAGCTTCAGGAGCACTCTAAAACTCCAGAAGGAACTATCATAAGAAGAAAGCATTTATGTGAATAATATAACTTGGCATTTAACTTCAATATCAATTTTCCACTACACAGAGTTATGAAATGCCCACAGACAGAACTGGAACCTTTTTTACTTGGCTATGTCACAAATGTGACATTGATCCATAAATAGACACAACTGTTTTCCTCATTTTTAGACATATGTTCCATTCCATAATAGCAATAATGCACTTGAGGTTGTGCAGAATTATTCTCAAATTATTATGTTTGGTCTGATATACATGTATACACAAAGTTTTAATGCATTAGCTTTGTTTTCTCAGTCTGGAATTATTTACTTGTAGGAGATAAGAAATAACAAAAGAAACTTTTTTCCCATAAGAAAACATTTGGTTAGATCATTCTTTCACTAAGAGGTTTAACCTGAACCCCAGCAAAAAGAATTTGGTTGATTTACGTATTAGTGAGAGGTGCATTTGGCTGTTGGTGTCTGAGACAGTGACAGCTTTGTACCTTAATGTTCACTCTAGGCAGTTTTATTGTTTTCCCAAATTCATTTTCACACCTCCAATTTGTTTCCCTAATGCAACACTAAGTATCAGTTGGTTGGCTTGAAAATTTCTCAACTATGTTGTATTTTTAAAAATCACTGTCTTTAATAAGATTATAACACTGCAACATAGATAAATCCATGAGGTTAAATAAAAATAACTATTCATAACTCTTTAGACCGGGAGAGAGAACCTCTACCTATAGGCCAATTCTGGCCCACCAGTGGGTCCAGTTTGGCCTGTGAAGCCATTTTCCGCAAACCACTCTCATCAATGCATATGGGGTTAAATAAAATGTTGGCTGTGCATGCCTCTTTCCAGCTGGGAACAGGTGCATGCAGTCAAGGCATCACTGCCAATAGGAAATAGTATGATTGATACTTAGCTGAAGTGTAGGTCTATATGACATCATGGGGTTACTGGGGCCTCTTCCTAATATGGACCACAGTATAATTTTATTCCAGTTTTGTTCCATTCATGTTTCTGGCCGTATTGGCCATTAGATAGGCTGCCGGTTTATAGGGAAACTAGTATTTTCTTACGCCTTGAAACTCCTATGACTGTTTGAACTTGGCAAGTCGGCAGAACTGATTGGGAGCTGAACACCTTCCCAAAGAGTCTTCGCTCCTGATTACGGTGGAGTCATAGCCCAACATAGTGACCCCATGATGCCTTATAGATCTATGCTTCAGGTAAGTACCAATCATACTTTCTCATCTTCAAAGATTCCAACTAAATATCAGGAAGAACTTTCTGACCATAAGAGCTGTCGTTCCTTGGAGGTTTTTAAGCAGAAGTTGGATGACCATCTGTCATATATGATCTGTCATAAGTCCCTACCAGCATTAATGAGCGATTCTCAAGCCTTCAAATAAAGCTCACCAAAAACCAACAGGTTACTATTATAAGCACTTATGCACCAACACTGGATGCCGATGAAGACATTAAAGAAAAATTTTACTCTCAGCTGGATACCATCCTATCAGAGATGCCTAAGGAAAATCAAATTATCATCCTGGGTGATTTTAATGCAAGAGTTGAGCGAGATTTCGATCTGTAGCCTGGGGCTATTGGGAAAGAAGGAGTTGGCAACAGCAACCAGAACGGAATCTTATTTTTTTATTTCCATTTAGTCTTTTGAATTTGTCATCCTATCATTTCTTTCCATCTTTGAGTATAGCTAGGGTCTCATTTCTCCTTCACCATAAAATGGAATAAGAGACAGCTTTTTTGACAACCTTTGCTCTTTTCCCCCTATATTAATATTTCAAAAAAAAATAAATCATTTTCTTAATGCAGCCCTTTGAAGATTCAGCCAGTTATTTTAAAAATCCCTTAACTGGAAATATTCAAATATGGAAAAAAAATGTTTCCATCATAAGGGCAAGTTGTTTAACATGGTTGTCCTCAAGCTAGTCAATATATTTAGTTAACCCTGCTTGCTGCCAGTGGATGAACATCATTTTTTAAAAAAATCATTTTTATTAATTTGAGGATCAAATAATACTGAGGCCATTGGGAATTGTGGCAGGCCTAAGTAATTTTTACATTTGGCTGATATTTTCCACAACACTGGGATAATACAACTTACCCTTTTGCCTGACTTCCTGTCTTTAGTTTCCTTCCACATAGAAGCCTTTGGATCTAAACACATCTGCTCCAAATCTTTTATATTTCCCTGTCCCATTTCTTGATACCAGTCCATTTTTTCAAACTAGCAATTTGTATGCAAATGCATTTTAAAACCTGGATTTAATTTTTGTACGAATACTCTACCAAATTTAAATGTGTGTGGGCTATAGGTCAGTGGTAAAGCACATGCTGTGCAACTGAAATGTTCCAGGGTCAGTCTGTGGCATCTCCAGGTAGGCCTTTGAGAGAGAGCTGCCTAGAATCCTGAAAGCAGCTGCCAGGTAGTATCAGCGATACTGGATAAAGTTGACTAGTATCAAGCAACTTCCTGCATTTCTAAAAACAGTAGCCGGGATCCACAGAAGCTTCCTTCAGAGGAAATACCCGCATGCCTGTCTGGATCCAATCGAGTATGTTAAGGAAGCTGCAAGAGTTTAGAACATTATTATTACTTTCCTGATTTATAAAATTTATTGATTTCCTTTTTTTTACTATGGTAATTCAAAGTGATATGCACTATATGAATAGTCAAAGGCAAACCTTGAAATGCACATAAAAAACAACCCCATTTTTTAAAAGTTAGGATTAAAAATATTCGCTCACTTGAGGCCACAGATAATTAAGAGCCAAAGACCTGGTGAAAAAGAAATGTTTTTGCCAAGCAATGATGTAAACATAACTTCCACTCATGAAAAGGGAACTGCTGGTGCTCTGGGATATCATATTTATGAGAGAAGTACTTTTGCTTTAAAATCACAGAATCGTTTAAAGTTTATTTGATTAGTATGTAAATTTGAAAGCTTTCTCTCTTTTCGACACAACAAAAATCCCATTTTTTGTTCAGTTTCTGCCAATAACCACACTTCAAAAGCTGTGCCTAATTTATAATTGGGGATCCTGCTGTGGTTCCAGAGATCATCCCTTTCCCCTGGTTAAATACAAATACTGCAGTATATAAATTCTCGTTTATTTTATATGTTCATGCTTCATGTGTATTTTGTTTGGAGAGAGAGGATTCTTACACTGCCATTAAAGTGTAACAGTCACATTCCTTTCCCACTGCAACTTGCAAATGCTTAGATTAGTGATCTAAGTTGTTTATTTACTTTATTTTATTTCATTGGCGCAGCACCTAGAAAATTAACACAATAACTGCCAAGTTCCACTTTGTGGTTTGTACATTTCAAATATAAATGTGGAACGTAAATACAGGAACAACTCTAGTGTGCGTCTCCTGTACGATTAGATTGTAAATAGAAAACTATACGTAATAAATGCATATTTATATAACACAATATGTTTAGAATTTATATACATCTACCATGTATTTTGCTTTGATATTAACTAGAAACATGCAGGTTATTCCTGCTCCTCCTGACTTCTAGATCTCCTTGCTCCATCTAACTGTCACCCCTTCTCCATATCATGCTTCTTGTTTCTTGAACTCTTTCCCTCCCAACAGCACTTGGCCTATTCAGTCTTCAGGTCACAGTGTGTAAGATGTCAGATGTTCACATATCTTTAATTTGCAGGCTCTTGATAATATCTACAAATGACTCCCGTGACTGAATATATGTGCAAACATATTGTAGTTGAAAAATTGTGTGTATGAGCTATTCACATCACACATCTTTATATTTAAGATTTCAGTTAGTATATTGACTTAAGAGTATGAGCTATGAGCCAAATTTCCCTGGTTCAGATCTTGCATAGGTCACAGATTTCACTATTTCCCAGTGTCAATCTCCTCTTGCATCGTAATGGGATAAATAAGGATGATACATCCTCACAAATCACCCAGTTAGGGTTAGCAGCTGAAGCATTTATTATTATTTATTTAAGCTAACAAAGTGTATCATTCCAGTGTTGTTACTGAGAGAAAGAGAGATTTCATATTTGCAAAATATTTCAATGTATATTAAAAACTCTAAATGTTATTTACAGTAATAACAATTTATCAATGGGATTTACTCATCCTGTGTCTGGAAACAACATGATTTATGGGTCACCAGTGAGAGATAATACAGTATCTTTAAATCATTTGCAATGATTATATCTTAATAAAAGAGAGAGAAAGAGATCTTTCTAAACATCAGTTAATGCACAGAGGAGAGGAATTGGTATTGCCTCTGCTGTCACCATCCTGATCTCCATGTGCTCATCGAAATGTCTGAGCAAAGCCTATGTGTATGCTGGTTATATATGTATGGGTGCTGTTCAGATAAACACATGGAGCCTGGGAGTGGGGACAGAGAGTATGATCTCTGTCGCTCCCTCCATGTGTCACCAAGCCACTGCACAGGGCTGCTGTACCTCTCTTTTCCCAGGACTTTTTCAGATCTGTTTTTACTTTAATCCAGAACGTTATTGCTTAGGTTGCAGGTCAGAGTAACTCTGCTTTCATTAAATGGGAGTTTGCATAATTTACTAGCCACAGGATTTCGGTTTTAGATAGGGAGGTGATTATCTTGGCTTTGAAATTGGCTGGCTGCAACCAGAGTCCACTAAGGTCCAGAGCCAGTTCTAGCACATTCTTTAGCTGTATTCAGCACTCCTAGCTGAAATAAGCCATTGGGGAGAAAGAGGCAAGACAAGAATTTCTAGAAGGTGGGGGGGGGGGCGCTGAGCACAGTACTCTGTCATTCTGTGTTTTAAACAAGTAGATAGCTTCTCTAGTAAATGTATTTTTTCAGGTTGTAACCTGCCCTTCCAAAGGACCACATAATTCCTTACAGCAATAAAAACCACAAAAAGCAATACCAGAAATTATGAAAAAGCATAGCAATGCATTAAAAACAACACACCAGCACCTCCCAAAATTGAGCTTAAAATTATCTTTTTTGCTTCATGGGAAAAAGCTATACCTTGAGATTTAACTTGAACACATTTCTCTTTTTTTATTTTTTTATACAAAATCATGAGTTATTGGGGAGGTTTGCCTACTGGCCAAAATGCTTTCTGAGAAAACAACAACAACAATAATGTGAAGTACTGTTACATTAAATTTCCTCATTTTTTTGTCTCTCTCTATCTTGAAGTGAAGCAGTAAATCTGCGGTTTGATAGTTTGTCCTGGGAAGAAATGTGCGTTGGCTTGTAAACTGGTTAGATTGTGTTTTGGTTTTTTTTAAAGGCAGTGAATCTGTTTTCTTAGTTTAAAAGGAGTTAAAACTTTTGGTTAAAAATCCCTGGGGGTGCCTTTTGACTCTTCAGTAAAACAAAACCCACTCAGAAATAGCCTGGATCTTGTGGTTTGATGTGTTCTCCAAACATGGACAAAAGGAGTTCTCACTGCTATTAAATTTGAGAATCCTGTCCAACAGCATCCTTCCCTCAAATGCCTTTGAGGGAAGGGATCACTGTGAAGGCTGTGGTGTTCTTTCAGAAAACTTTTTATTGAGCTCAGAAAGCTCCTAGTACAGTTTCATGCATTTTCATCTACTATTGAGCCCTGAAGTCTGAATTAGAAATCTCAGACTCTACTATGAAGACTAACATTATAGGACTCTTCCACTGCAGTTTATGCTTCTTCTTTGATTTTTTTTAAGGTAAATGTATTTAAGTTTCGGGTGGAATCACCCTTGGTCAATTGATTGGTTATCCTGTGCCTCCTTAAAAATAATATCAAAAGCAACTGCTATTGTTTTCATATATCTTTTCCCTTCATTTTACATGTGGCAGAATTAGAAATTGAGAAATTGGCAGAGCCTATTTTCTGTGGCATGTTTCCTTATGCACTCTAGCACAAGTGGCACTTGCACAGGTGAAGATTCCTGATTTTTACCGAGGATTTGGGGGCCCTCTAGTGGAATGGCACTGGATGTGGCACAAAAATCAAAGGCAGCATATTACACAATGTCACTGTGTGAATTGCTGGGAAAATAAAAGCCTTGGGTGCTGTTGCTACTAAAGTCAGCAACAAGAACAGTCAGTGTGATGAGGCAGAGCTGCTCCTCTAGCACTGGAGTTGCTGTAGTTTACCAGGACCGGGTTGATGGCAAGGCACTGGCAGAGCCAGTCTGACATCCCCTCTTGTTCATCCGCACAGCAGCAGTCTCCAGCTGAACAGCAGCAACGCTGGTGTCATGAGGGTGGATTTGCAGCTCTGCCCTACGACACCAACTGCTGATGGGAAGCGAGGAGCAGAAATGAAGCGGAGATTGAGTCTGAACAAGGAAAACATAAACTGAAGCACAAGCATGCAGAGAGAGTGCTGCAGGATGTATAGGAAAAATGGAAACATGGTAAAAAGACTTGTGGCAAAACAAAGTGAGAGTAAGAAATGGGGAGATGCAGAAAATTTGACGGCATGTGGAAACAGAGAAAAAGGAGGTTAGGTGGAGGCAAAGAAAGAAAGAGAAATGGAAGAATATACACTTTGAGCTTTACGGAAAGAAGAGAGAGAGGACGGTCTAACCGTGAAACCTGTGGTGGCCGTCCATGGATGCCAGTACCCTCCTGTAGCTCCTGCAAACCAGCACCTCTGAAACCCAAGAGGCTGTTTGCTCTCCTTGCTTAACATGAGAACCGAAAAAGAGCCTGCTAGATCACGCCAATGGCCCTTCTAGTCCAGCATCCTGTTTTCACAGTGGCCAACCAGATGCCTGTGGCAAACCCTCATGCACTCTCCCTTCCTGTGCCTTCCAGCAAGTGGCATTCAGTAGCACTGCTGCCTCCAGCTGTGGAGGCAGAGCATAGCCACCATAGCTAGCAGCCATTGATAACCATTTCCCTCCCTCGTACTTACGGGACCGTCTCTGCAGGTATGTCCTGCAGAGGACCCTAAGGTCCATGAATAATAATAGCTTAAAGGTCCCAGGCCCTAAGGAAGCCTGATTATCCTCCACCAGGGCCAGGGCTTTTTCAGTGATGGCTCCAACCTGGTGGAATGTTCTGTCCCACAAGACTAGGGCCCTGCAGCACTTGATCTCCTTCCACAGGGCCTGTAAGACAAAGCTATTCCACATGGCCTTCAGTTTGAATTAGCCTGATCCTCTATTCCCTTTTCCCCATTCATCTTCTATGAAGAAACCCTTTCTGGGACCCCACATTTAAATTCTTCCCTGGTTTCCTTGCTGGCCCTAGTAGGACCAACTTGGCCAGTTAGCCCTGGTGATCATTTGATGTCTACTGACTGGGGTCCCCCCCCCTCAAATGACCCCTGAATTCTTGAATTTTATTGATATTGATGCTTCATTTTATGTTGTATTTTATGCTGTTTTATGCTGTTTTTAGGTCGCATTTTAATCAATGTTTTATATTTGCTGTTAGCTGCCCTGAGCCCAGTTTTTAAACCGGGAAGGACGGGGTATAAATAAAATGTATTATTATTATTATTATTATTATTATTATTATTTTATTTATTTATTTGTCTATTCCTCTTTTAAAGCCCATCTAGGTTGGTGGTCATCACCGCCTCCTGTGGGAGCGACTCCCATAGTTTAACTATGTACTGCTTCCACTCAACATTCCAATTACGCTTACTAATCCAAGGTTGAAGACCACTGTGTGGTGGTCTGTAGAGAAAAGAGCATTCTATGGGGTTACAGGGGTGTTAACCAAATGAGTTAAAATGTAAGAATATATCATTGTGTAGGTAACCTTTTGGTGTGGCCCTCTCCAGTTAATGTAAATGTCGTTCTCAAAGTCATGAGCTGAGCAGTCCTGTCTGAAAACATCAGGGAATTACAAAAGAATTGTGTGTGTCTCTGTTCCCTTCCTTGATATAATCCTTATACCATTATTTGCTGGCAAACTGCTGCCATTGCTGTTCCTAGTCTGACTGGGGAGGGAGAAAAATGTGCCACTGCATATACATCAGGGCCCTAAGCCAGTAGTAACCCTGTCACCTTACCCTATTTGCTTAATCTCCGTTGAGAATTCAAGTCCTGAATCTTTATATCTATATTGAATGGAATCTATCTCAACAAATGTTCCATTGAAATTAGATATTTATGCTCTACTGATTCTAGGTCAATATATTGAATTGTTAAGAAGCAAAGGCATAAATGTGAGCTCATGCTGAAACTGTGATAAATTATCAAACTGGCTTCATTTTTCTTTTCTTTTCTGTTTTTCTTTTCTTTTCCCCTTTTAATAGGATAGTGTTTTCAGTTGCCACTGCTCTCTAGGGAGCCAAGATTGGAAAATACAAAGATGTAATGCTATTAACAGTTTGCAGGGGGCGGGGAGCAGATATGTGATATGGTATTTATTTAGAAAACAGGTCTACTTCTTTGGTTCAGGTCGTTGAGGGTTCAAATAATTTCAGGAGAGGAAACAATAATAACGGCGAAGGAGTTATTTTCAAGGCTAACATTGTGTGAAGAACGATTTGGGAGAAAATATCCAATTTTTGTAACCTTCAGCCTTGAAACATAATGACATTAAGAGGGAATGGAGAATCTGTAGTCGATTTTTTGTTGCAAGGTTCAAAGTATCAAACTACTCTGAAAGCAGACAGTAACAAAGTAATATAATTGAGAGTGAAAGTTCAGACTGCCTCACTGGTAAGTTTAGAATTCAATATTCCTCCAGAGAGTTAACCTAAATGAGTAATTTGTCTGCTTGTTGGTTTAACAGACGTTATCACAGGTAACTATTCTCATGAGAGTTGGCTACATTATCCTGACACTAACCTCCATTGGATTCCTTATAGAGCAAAGGTAAGTAATTGAGCATTTCATTTCTGTATGTTTTATATTGCAAATGCAGCCTCTTGGGTTGGATTCAGAGTGTCACTTCAGTGAAAAGAAAGAGGATCCCGCTGGGAGGGAGGCAATTTTTGCCAGTTTTCCCTGTTCTCCTTATGGGAACTCTAGGGTCCCCAACCCTTTGGAGCAGCTTTTCAGGTTGAAAGAGAAGTCAGTGAAGATAATCTCCCTAGCCCTTTTCTCCAGGAGGAATGCTCCATGGGTGGAAATCCACTTATAGAAACAGTGGGTCCAAGCCCTTGATTGCCAAAAATGTTTCTTACAATACAAAAATGTGACAATGGTGGAGGTTTAGAATTCCTTTACAAAATGTGCATTAGTGCAGCCTAGCCAATGGGCGGCTTTCCAACTATTCTGGGAATCCCAACCAATCCCAGCCAGCATCAACAACACTCTATTCTCTTTGTTTGCAGTTTAACCTTATTTTGCTTCCCGTGTATCTCCTGACCTTCCTGTGGTTCAACATGGTTGCCGTATTCAGAGCCAGGAAAGAATTTCCCTGTATTGGCCAGTCTAGAAGTTTTGCCTTCTCCCTAGCAAAACGTAACAACTTTTGGTGGTTAAAGGCATAGGGTGGAATCCTAGTCTTTAAGCATGGGCTGAAGTGGTGCATCACCCAGTATTGATCCAGTGGTGTTTTCAGGGTATCCTGCTAAAGGGGTCTTGGTGGATGTTCTTGTCCTGAAGTCAAGCGTGGGGCAGACAGTCCATAAGACTTCCAGCGGCAGCCTCAAGATGGCCAGCTCAGTAGATTAGTTTCTTGGGGATGCCATAATCCTGGCACAACCTCCAGCAGGAGGCTAGAATGCATATGCACCCAATGCTTGAGCTAAAATTCCACCTACATTTGTCATCAATAAAGTTGTGGCCGTTTTTAATCCAGATTGTTGTTTGCCTGAGTTATTAATCATATATTATGACACTGACCCTGGAGGAGGGTGGCACTGTGACTGGGCCTGCAACTGATGTCTTAGAGGGGTAATTGTGATTCTTCTTTACTGCAAGGATACATGCCAATCAAACCCTGAGCTGGCGAACTAAAAATAGACCTTACTAATTTCAGTTCTTTATTTTTAGGCCTGAAGCTCCCTTCTTGGAATCTGTCCGCTGTTCCACTTTCCTTGCCCTGCACAAACTTGGTTACTTGAAAACTTACATTGCGCTTCTGTCAGTGACATATGAGGTAAGGCAACTTAATTTATCATATAGTGCATATATTTATTTTAAGAATAAACTATACATGTTTCTGGGCCTCAGAGGTTTGCAATATTTAAAAAGTGCTTGCAAGCATAACAGAGTGTAGTGAGCACCATGAACCAGATATGATCCTATTTATTTTATTTTATATCCCACCTTTCTTCCGGTACAGGGCCCAAGCCAGCTCACAGCAGTATTTAAAGCAGCTACAACTAAAAACACAATACATACAAAGGTTAAAAAAAAAGAGTAATCCTATTAAAAACATCATTGAAAACACTTTAAACCATTTAAAAGCACACACACACAGGCACACAAAAGCACCAGCCCCACCCTCTGAAGACACTTCCACAACAGCCAGTTAGTAGCCAAATACCTGTTGAGTGTGAGGAGGCGAGGAGCCTTTGCCTGGTGACAAAGGGAGAGCAGAGAGAGACCCAGGCTGGCCTCCCATGAAAGAGAGTTCCACAATTTGGGAGCAAACACTGAGAAGGCCCTCTCTTGTGTCCTCACCAAATGTGTCTAAAGGTGGCAGGATGGAGAGAAAGGCCTTGTCAGAATACAACAGTTGCATTTTACTTTGGCTTTAGCAGTAAGCACTCAAATGGTGTACAGATAACACTACTTACAAGATCTGAATGCAATATGATAATAATAATAATAATAATAATAATAATAATAATAATAATAATAATAATAAATAAATAATAAAAATAAATTTTTTTTATTTATATCCTGCCCTCCCCAGCTGAAGCCGGGCTCAGGGTGGCTAACAACAATAAAACAGTACAACACAACACAACACTCTAAAATCATTCATTATAAAATTAATTCAAATCAAACCAATGGCAACCATTGGGCTAGAGCTCCGCGAAGATTGCCGAAGGAGGGAGTCAGGCTGTGCCCTGGCCAAAGGCCTGGTGGAACAACTCTGTCTTGCAGGCCCTGCGGAAAGATGTCAAGTCCCGCAGGCCCTAGTCTCTTGTGACAGTGTTCCACCAGATCGGAGCCACAGCCGAAAAAGCCCTGGCTCTAGTTGAGGCCAGCCTAACCTCTCTGTGGCCTGGGACCTTCAAGATGCTTTTATTTGAAGACCGTAAGTTTCTCTGTGGGACATACCAGGAGAGGCGGTCCCGTAGGTACAAGGGTCCTAGGCCGTATAGGGCTTTAAAGGTTAAAACCAGCACCTTAAACCTGATCGTGTACTCCACCGGGAGCCAGTGCAGCTGGTATAGCACCGGGTGAATGTGATCTCGCAGCGAGGACCCCGTAAGGAGTCTCGCTGCAGCATTCTGCACCCGCTGGAGTTTCTGGGTCAGTCTCAAGGGCAGCCCCACGTAGAGCGAGTTACAATAATCCAGTCTGGAGGTGACCGTCACATGGATCACAGTGGCTAGGTCAGGGCGAGAGAGGTAAGGAGCCAACTGCTTAGCTTGGCGGAGATGGAAAAATGCCGCCTTTGTTATAGCTGCAATCTGTGCCTCCATGGAAAGGGAGGTGTCGAAGATTACACCCAAACTCTTAACAGATGGTGCTGGCACTAATTGCGCCCCCGCAAGAGATGGGAGTTGCCCCCCCCCATCCCATATCGTCCCGTCCCAGCCAGAGGACCTCTGTCTTTGAAGGATTTAGCTTCAACCGGCTCCCACGTAACCATCCAGCCACAGCTTCCAAACATCTGGTCAGTGTGTCTGGGGCCGAGTCAGGATGGCCATCCATCAACAGATAGAGTTGGGTGTCATCAGCATAATTGCTCATGGTACATGTTGATCTTTCTCAACCTGCTGATTGATTTTGGTGGTTTATATAATAACGCTTCAAAAATCCATTTGACCAGACATCATTTGTAAGACAGGAAAGGTGATTGTGTAGTTTGGACAGCAATGGTTCCATTGATTTTTATCTTCAAATATTAGTATCATCTGTATATATACTATTCTATAGCTTTGCTCATCTCTATAATAGGAAGGACTGTCATACTCTGGGTATTGGTTGGGATGTACAGCTGTGTTTTCCTGTCAAATGTAAGAACCGCAAGCCACTCCATGGCCATGCCTACCCCCATGCTGTATAAGATGTTGGAGGAAGGAAGTGATGGAAGGAAGCTCCCATGAAGCTTCATGATAAAAAGCCTTGTCAGCACACCTAGATCTAAATAAATTCAAGTTGAGCTTGTAATATTAATTCTCTCTGTTATCTTTGCTAAAGAGAAAATCCAGCCATTGTGGACTAGTAAGATGGACTTTCTTGACAAGACAAGAGCCCTGGGGGTAATAATGCCCCTTGGAGAAAAGAAATCATAGTTGAACCTTACATTCAGTAGATTAAGTTAGTTTCCACTTAGGTGTGACAGAGTCATTACTGACTTTAGCCTTAGCTGGTGTGTGAGCTGGCTTCACCACCATCAACTAAAGATGATGATGTATGGTTCCAGATGCTCTGGCCAATTGACCGTAAAATTGCTCTGCATTTCTGGCAGGGCAGCCAAGTTAGAGCTTTTAAAATCTCCATGCCTGAAGCTCAGCGCCCACTGTTTGGAAGCTGCTCATTATTCTTCTCCTGCCCCCTGATCTGAGCAAAAGAGAGACTTCTGGAATCAATTAGAAATGTCTGCCTTTGATGAGATTTGCACGTGAGTTTGGAATTGTGAGGCTTTGATAGTGTCAGCCAACAGCTGCAGTTTCAGGTGGTAAAATCAAGAGAAGAATTTTTACAGGGCTTAATTACAATCAGTATATATTTATAACTAGTTGAGGGACACTGAAAAAAAGTGAAGTTCGAAACTGTCAAGCATATTGTTGAAGATGAGACTTCATTACTTCCATCACAGGAAAGTTTGTTGGAAACTTGTGGTTGTGAGACTGTTGTGGCTGCAAGAAACTGGAAATGATGTTTTCTGTAGGCCTTGCTGCAAAAGAAACATCTGGCAGTATTTATGTCATTCCTATTTGACAAGTTGAGGTAATAATAAGCGGTGATACACATTTGTGTACAAGTGTAAAGTACAGACTTTCTTAGATAAATATAATACAGTAATCCGAAAGTAACCCTTTCCCATCCAAGGATCTACGTATTAAATGTATATATTTTAAACATGTTATATTTACAGGGTTGTATCCAACGCTGTCCATGCACTCCTCCTGCAGAACCCTTCATGCCCTCAAAATCTGCTCTGGAGGGTAGGGAACCTGCTGGAGCAGATTTTGCAGGGTGTGTTGGGGGCTGCAGGGGGAAGGACCAGAAAGGTGAAGTTCTGTTGCTTGGGTGGAAGTCCACTTGTGCAATATTGAATTTTGCCCTGGTGGTCACCTTCTATCTTAAATAGAATGGAGCTAAATGTTTGTATAATTGTTTTAACGTCTATCCTACTTACCAGCTGAAAACCATTTTTAAAAAATAATGTAAAATAAAAATAAAAATCACTGAAGCAAGCTAGTTAAGTTTCACCGAATGTCTATCTGAACAACAACTAGAAAAGTATGGTGCTCATTCAAGAAGGCTAGGAGGGATGGTTTTTGTTGTGGGGGTCACTACAGAAAAGACAATGCTTCTCAACTGCAATTTTTCCTTCTGTGGAGAATAGGATTGGGTAGTTTTATCTGCAGCTTAAATTCACTGTACTTTTACATATGACTGTACACCTGACTGTTACAAATGACAGGCATGGGAGGTTCCTACCCAAGGGTCTTATAATCTAAAATAGACACAGGTAAGCAACTGGGGGTTGTGTGTGAGAGAGAGGGGAGAGGGAGAGGAAGGTATGGGTAGTCCAGGGAATACTTATTTTAATTGCATGTATTTTGCTTTGTACAATAAGATATAGGGCGTAGCTGTTTCTCACGTTCATGCTGAATAAAGGAGAAAGACTCTCCTCCTGCAAAAGAGGGGAGTGGTTGTGGGCGGGAGCCGGTCTCCGCCTTAAGCAGAGGGTGTTAGCCCCGTGCCTCCCACTCACCTGGCTGGCGCACCACGCCCACGGGCAGGCACCCAACCAGGTGCCTCCGAGGGGGCGTGGACGGCAGCGTAAATCGCTGCTGCACCAGCCACGTGGCCTCACTCTTCGTCGTCCCGTCGCGAAAACTGAGACCCTGAGCTTTAAGGGAGTGGAGGGTGGGTGACTCGCGACGGGACGAGGAAGAGTGAGGCCGCGTGGCTGGCGCACGACCCTCGGTGACATCAGGGGAGAGCTTATAGTTGGATTAGCATCAACAGGCTCCACCTACTGGTGAATAAACCCCCCTTTTAGACTCACCCCTCTCCGAGTGGGTGGAGTCAACTGACGTAATCCAATGCCTAAGCCAATACCTTTTCACTTGCTGTAATCAATAAAGTTGTGGCCTTTTCTTGCCCATTAACCTTATATCACGTGTCCGTGTGTTTTCATTCCACTATGCGGGGATTGGGTCCTCGAACCACAATCCAGGGTTCTTAACAGCTTGATTGTAGAAACCTCTGCACTAGCAGATATATAGGAAGTGGTGAAATAACTGCTACACTATCATGATGTTAGTGTAGGGTTGATTTCCTATTTCACCCCTTCAAAATAGTATCCTAGGCTAATACTGGCAACAGCCATGATCACCCAGCATGATGTGGTTGTATCATGTACCAGAGATCTTGATCCAGGCACAATTGCAATGAAACAATACACTTTACTCTTTACTCTTGCCACCACTGTGGCAGCTTGTTAGAGGATGGAGGTACTGGCCATTTGTATGCTCTAGTGCAGGCATGGCCAGACTTGGCCCTCCAGATGTTTTGGGACTACAATTCCCATCATCCCTGACCACTGGTCCTGTTAGCTAGGGATGATGGGAGTTGTAGTCCCAAAACATCTGGAGGGCCAAGTTTGGCCATGCCTGCTCTAGTGGCAACAATGCAGGGGGCCAAAAATACATGACAGAGATCACAAGAGAATTTGTGATCCTAAAGGTTTTTCCTTTGGTGTCTCAGTGAATACACTGTTCCAACTCTCTGTTTGCCCTC